TTTTTTTTTTTTTTTGGTCTGTAAACTGTTAATGTGACTCCTTGAGTGCATGCATTCACTGCAATATGAATAGAATTCATTAGGAAGCCGTTCGAATGTCAACTAAAAATATTTCTAGGCAAAGCTGGAGCAGAACCATTGAGCATCTCTGAGCCACAGACAGCTGTGTTTTGTTATTGAATGAGTCTGTGTCTGAACTAATTTGAGAGTGATTCAATGGCTTAATAAAGACAGTTGGTGAATTGGAAACTGCATGCTACTCTTACTACTTTTACTGTGACTTTTTATGGCAGAAATAGTAGCATGTTAGTATGCGGTTCCAAATTCAACAAGTTACATGCTTAGTTTCTGAATGCATCAGCTGTTTTGAATGAATGGTTTGAATTAAGGGATGGTTCATCAAAATGTCCAAACTAGTATGTCTGTTAGGGCTGCACAATTAATCAAATGTGATTGTCATGCGCATTTTGATAGTAATGCCGGTTCTGTAATCAGCAGGAAATCATCATCACGTGCTTTCAGATGGAGCAGAATTCACTACACATAGCCGTAGTTCACAGACAAGTTACGCAGATAAATCGCTTGCGCGATTATGAAATCAATATATGAAGATATACCAGTGTTGAAGTCTCTGCATTGATGGGGAAGGCCATCCAACACGTTCATACAGTTCACAATGGTGAGTGAGGACTTTAAAACCAGTGATGAACCTCAGAGCTCCATGGTATACAGTGTCCAGTGCATGTAAACTTTGAGACGAAGCAAGCTATGTTTGCATAGCTTCTCAGTGGACTACGGCTCTGTGAAGTAAATGCTGCTCCATCTGAAAGCATGTGAAAATACCACATTTAATAACATATTTTTACAAAAATACAGTAACATAAAACAACTGAAATAACGAATCCTTTAAAATAAACCACAATCAATAACACATCAGGCAGAACATCTACAGCCAGATGTGACTGCCTCCAAGTCAGTTAACATCCTCTTAAAAGCGACCAATGAGACCAGCGTATTAATTTTCATAGATTTCTGTAATTTGTTCCATGAAGAGGGAGCAGCATA